CAGCTCTCCATGGGGAAGGTTCCCCGTCCGAGCGAGCAGCCGGTGGGACAGAGCAGCACCCAGCCTTCCCCACTGTGTTCTGGGAGCAGCACCCAGTGAGTACAGTGGGGGCAACCCTCCTGCCGGCTCTGGTACCGCACGTGGACGTCAGGAATAGAGCAGGATGGGGTACGATTCCCCTCTCCTTCCAGCTGGGCAAGACTGGGTATGTGGTTTAATTTTACAGTGGGACAGTAAAGCCTTCATTGCTTTCCTGCCCTGCCTTGTGGTGGGAGCTGTAAGAGAGCGGGACAACGTTGCCAAGTGGCTCTAGGAGGGATGGATTATGAAAACTTTATATTTAAAAAGAAAAATAAAAAAAAACTGAGAGGAAAAAGGGAAAAGCGTTGCTTCCCCCGCATCCAGTCCTGGCTCCACTTCTGGCTGCCCTGATGATAACATGGCGAGGTCAGCCAGTCAGTGGGGCTGTCAACCCGTGGCATGGTTGCCTCTTGGCTTTGAGGTGGGACCCGCTCCCTGCTCACAGGGACTACAACAGTTGCTCCTAGCTCGTTACACAGATCAAAGTGCCCTTGGACTGAATAGAGAGAACAGCAAACCATGACTGCCCAGAGGCTGGGGGATATGAACTGAGTCAGGGTGATTTTTATCCATGTCCTTTTATCATCCTACAGAGCAGATAACCGGGGCCACCGACACAGCAGCCCCATGCGTTCCCCACCGCCACCGGAGGAGCTGGAACGGGAAGCAGCCAAAGAGAGGAGCCCAGCGGCAGAGTCCTGGCCCTCCAAGCACAGCAGGGAGTGTGGCACCCACCTGGCTGGGTGGTGGTGGCAGGTAGGGGGGTGCTGGTGGTGGTGGAGGTGGTGGTGGTTGAGGTTGTTGTGGTGGTGGTGGTTGTGGTGGTGCTTTTTGTGGTGGTAACCCGCTGCGGTCGCTCATAGACTAGCAAGCAAAGAGAAGAGGTGGGAGGCACTTACTGCGGGGGGAACAGAGGGTCTCCTGATGACGCTGGATGCAGCGAGCACGTGTGTGCACGCAGGGGCCGGAGGCTGTGGCCGTATCAGCTTACTCTGTCCGTGCAGATATTGGCTTAAATACTTACAGCTCTAACATAAACTAATTGCCAATTAAGCTGAAAGGGGGAAACAAAAGCCCGTGTGGGCAGGGATGGGGTGAAGAGCGGGCGGGAGGTGCACAGGAGCCCCACGCTGGATGCAGCGAGCACGTGTGTGCACGCAGGGGCCGGAGGCTGTGGCCGTATCAGCTTACTCTGTCCGTGCAGATATTGGCTTAAATACTTACAGCTCTAACATAAACTAATTGCCAATTAAGCTGAAAGGGGGAAACAAAAGCCCGTGTGGGCAGGGATGGGGTGAAGAGCGGGCGGGAGGTGCACAGGAGCCCCCAGCCCACCCTGCCAGGAGGTGGGCTTCCACTGCCTGACGTCTGCGGGCCATCTGGCAGAGCCTTGCCTACCCCGGCTCCGTAAACAGCACCAGGCTCTTCTGTCACCCCCCAGGCAGCAAAATACCCGGTGCCATCAAAACCAACCTGTACCAGTGGCATTATGAATTTCCACTGGCACCCTTCGTTTTTTTATTAATTGGTGGCTTCACGTCAGTGAGCCCCCGCGGAGCTGTGTGGGAGCGATCCCGGGTACGGTGCTCATCCCACGGCGCTCGCCACAACAGCCCAAACCGAAATAACACTCGGAACACAAATTCCTACTTGACTTACACCTGCTGCCCTCCTGTCCTTGTTTGTCCCACTGCTTCATGCAGATTATCATGCTTAATTTCATAATAGCCCTGAGCTAGTTTAAATACTTAATTTAGGTCACTCCTAGTCTCCTATGCAGGCTAAATAATCTCTCCTTAACTGGCCTTGGACACAAATCCCTCCTGTCCATCCCCTGCGCATTGCTTCCAGCATCCCCCCCAGCTTCTCTCTAGCAGAAAATTTTGACGGGAAACATTTTCCAGTGAAACAAAGGTAGCACTGAGGATACTAAGCTCTGTTAAGAAGGGAAAAAAGAGTTATCAAAATGGTTTTGACCAGAAAGCAAAGAATATTTTGGGCTGTTGAAACATTCAGTTCTTTTTTTTTAATCCTAAATTACTTAGGGGAGACTTTTAATTTTTATTGGAAATTATTAACCATTTAAATTTAACTGCTTTAAATCTAAATATGGCTCATTTACCCAGAAAAACTGTCCTCCACTTTTCAATTAGATGCATTTTTCTTAATTACATTTGCATTCCTCTGAAACTACTTCTCCTCTGATTCTTTCCACTTGCCTGCGAACCAAAGAATTCATTATTCATTCAGCTCTTGGATTCATTTCTTCTGGAGGGTAATTCCGAGCCACAAAACTCAAACCCAGGCTTCTGCTTACCCAAAACTCAAGGCTCTTTGATATCAAGCTACCTCCAGCTTTGTTAAATAAGGAGTCCTATCATACCATCAATCTTTCAATAGAAATCCCCGCTGAGCACTACTGTCTTTGCAGCCGACGCTTCATAGGCATATGTTTACCTACACACACACACGTACATACAGATGTACACACACCCTATACATGTTTTTTTTATCTATAGCCAAAGGTGACCCAGACTAGATGCTGTGCCAAATAATGCTGTGCTCCTTCTCAGAGCAGAAGTCTGCGATACTGGGGGGCGGGGGGAAAGTTCACAGCGAGCACTGGTGGTTTTGAAGAGTCTTTTTTTATTTCCTTTCCGGCTGCCATACTAACGAACCTCATGGGGGGAAACCATGCCAAAGGAAGAGGCAAAATGAAGCTACTGATGTCAAAGGAAGAAAATATAAGACTCTTTGACAGAACAGAAAATGAGGCACAATTAGGGAAGACTTATTGCCTGGAAAATGATAATGGACAGAAAATAACCATATATTTTTTTTCCTAGTGATATCCACAAGGGCCATGCACCGGGGTGTTAAATGCCAGCATTTCAGTTATGTTTTTACTTACTGCCAAAGGCTGAGCCTGCAGCTGCACCTGGAAAAAAATAAGAAGAAGCCTGGTCACTGGAAGCAGGACACCACAGGCTCTGATAGCAGCAGCAGATCAAACAGATACACAATGTGGGACCAAACAGAAATTAATTAGCGGGGGTCTTGCTCACAGGAATGTGTTTGCTGCACCATCTTAAAAGCTGCTTTTGTCAAACCAGGCAGGGCTGTCTGGGGTCTGGGCATCTCAAGCCTTTCACCTGGGGAAGAAAAACCAGCGTGGTCCTTGCAGATGGGTTTTTCTGGTAACTGATTCCTTGACCTGCCGGTAAAGCCCAGCAAAGGACAAGCAGCATCTGCTGAGGTTCCCTGAGCTAAGTACAAGCTGCAGGGTCTGAATCGGCTTGTTGTACCTTGGGCAGTTCTCTGCGAGTGGGAAGGGCTGAACACCCTTCTCACTGCAGTGCTTTGCTCAACAGGGCGCTGCAAAGCCACTGGTCTCAAACCCACCAGTCAAAGACCATCCAAGGACCAGCTTCTGGCTTTTGGTACCCAGGAGACTGATGGCCACGCTCCTCTCTGTGGATGAATCCTGGAGAGTCTCGGCTTTGCATGAACATAAAAGCACAGGACCACCAAGAGGAGAGGACTTCAGAGAACTGTTGCAGAGGAAGAGGATGTTGATGGGGGAAGGAGGAAGCAACAGAGAGAGAGTCGGGGTCGGGGGTGGGGAGGAAGAAGACTGAGTGACAGATGGGAAGAGAGATGAATGGGAGAAGAAAGAGCAGAGGAGAAAGAAATGGGAAGAGACACAAGGAACAGAGGGGAGGGATAGAGAGAACAGCATGTCTGTGCCTGTCAACACCAGAAACTCTCCCAAGCTCCTTTGAAGCAATGCAGCCGCTTGGTGAGAGCTGACAAGCTCGTTCCCTTTCAAAGAACCTGCTCGTCTACCAGCCCTGGCACACACAAAACATTCCCATCACGGCCTTCGGAGCCTGAATTTCAGCTTTGATCATCTTAAAGCACATAAATCTTTCAAAAAATTTGGGGGGAGGGAGGGAAAAGATTCTCTTTGGTAATGCTCAAAGCTGCTGCTTGAAAGGCTGGAGTGGCTAGTGTGGCTCCGTGACATTTAAACAAGTCTGCTAATGTGGACTGGACAGAAACCCAGGAGAAACTGGCCCATCTGTGATGTTTCCTGCCCCAATTCCCCTGCTCGAACGATGGTGGGTATGCATCCTTCATCTCGTCTGCGCGCCTTTGCTTCTGTCAGTGCCTTGCTCCAGCAGGCAATTGGATGAGACTGGAGCTGCGCAGATGGACTGCAGCTCGCGGTGCTCGCCTGAAATGCTGACATACACAGAACGGGATCCAGAAAGCAATCCAGAAAGCAACCTGCACTCCCGCAGCGGAGCAGTGCCAACGCTGAGCCCGTGGACTACTTGACAGCCAGTGCTCTGCTGTGGCTAAATAATGTCTTCCTCAAAGGACAATAATTCGCATTGCCACAAAGCCATGGACCTACATCTTGGCCCAAGGTCATCCTTCCTGTTCTTGACCATCCTTTGGGCTCATCACTCATCTACCAGTAGCCAATAAATCACCTCTGCATCCACCCAGAACCTCTCTCATTTCTCTGTGTACCAAGACATGAGTAAATACCCGCTTCCCTTCCGAAAGCTGAGCATCCTGCACTGACTCAAGATGGAGAAGGACAAGATGAGAATCCGCTCCCATCTGTGGGTGTCATGCAGCCCAAGGTGGGAGCGCGGCCAGGGCTGGCTCGCTGCAGGTTACTTACATGCGTTGGGGGACCCGTTGGGGAGAGGCAGGTAGGATCCTGCTCGCCAAGACCTGGAGCGAAAGTTCTTCTTGCACTTGCCGCAGTCCTGCCCCGTGGTGTTGTGCTCACACTCGCACTGAAGGCTGCCCTCTTTGAAGGTGCACAGGTTAGCGTGGAGGTTGCATTTGCACCTGGAAGAGGAAGACAGGAGAAGAGCTGTCAGGTATTACTGCTATTCCTCCTTGCCCCTGGCGTAGTGCTGTCCCTGTGCGTGAAAATGTAGCGGTGAAGCTGGGCTGGTTACCCCTTTCCTGTTCCTTCTGCAGGACTTTTTCACTGAACTCAGCTGCTTGCCTTGGGTAGCTGGAGCAGTGGTTACGATGTCCACGTCCTCGCCCAAGGTGGATCTGCAGTCTGTATTCCAAGATGAGAGATACTTTACTCCCACCATCCGACTGCAGTAGCACAGATCGTTTAATGGTAAGTCAACATCTCCAGCTGAGACTCCAGGAAGGAGTCACACGTGTTTTTTTCAGAAATCTGCGTGAGCAGCTCAGATGTAGGCATGTATTTGGAGGCAGAGAGGACAGTCTCAAGCTTTAGATGGAGAAGCATAGCTAACACTGGTGGGACTCAGCCCCTTAACCCCCACGCAGCATGCTGAAGGCAAGAGCATTTTCTCCTGTGAAGTTGCACAACGCAAACCCTTTTCCCTACGTGCAAAGCAGCTCCAGCCTGCTGTGACCAAAATAACACAGAGAACAAGTCACCATCAGAATCTGCCTTTTAGTCCCTGCCTCATCAGAGAAGACAACAACGAAAACCACTATTCAGCAATTTGCAAACATTAGCAAACTTTTAATGAGCTGTAGTGCAGTATGCAGGGAATAATTATCTCCATGCACAATAATTCCTGTTGCTCAGACTCCGGAGATGACTTGCGCAGAGCACAGAGGCTGAGCCCATAACTCACACGTGGCTCTGGTGACTCCTGGGCCTGAGCTCAGGCCATCAGACAGAGAGTTCAGGGACCAAACCCCCTCAATTCATTCCAGACTGTGGATTCCTAAGCACAGCCCACTGTTTTTTCACTGCTTTGTGCAATAATTTACACTCTCAGAAGCAGAACTACTAGGAAACAATAACACTGTGCCTTATGCGAACAGGTAGAGGAGTCTGACTGGGCAGCACTTCGTTTTACAGGGCTAATTGCACGAGAGATGCAGAGCTGAGGGGAACAACCCGCTTGCAGAGAAGACAGAGGAAAGGTGGCCTGCTTCTTCTTGTGCTCTGTCTGCACTGGGATAAACAAACTGGATCAGGCTGAGAGCCGTCAGCCGGGTTCCTCCCAGCTGCCAGCACCATGTGTGGCCACCAGCCCCTGGTGCCTCTCCCCCTCTCCCTTGGAGCCGCCAAAGATGCTCCCCAGCCGCCTGCCTGACCCGCTGAGGCTGCCTTTGCTGTGCTCCTGCTCACGCGTGGCTGGATAAGCTGACCTCGCGTATGATTTTTTTTTTTTCCCTCTCCCTCCCCTCCCTGTCCTTAATTCTAGCAAACCCCGCTCAGAGGCTAAGCATAAGCTGGATGAACAGTCTCCCTCCCCATCTTACAACCCTGCCCTGTCTCTGACCAAGCAGGGGAAGGAATATTGCAGTCTCTAAAAGGGAGGAAGGAAGAAAATGTTGTCCACGGAGCAGAGGCAGGCACACTCAGCATGCTCCACTTGAAGACGTGTGTTAGCGAGAGCTGGAGATGCCATGTCACGGCTGAAAGCACTAACAGCCTCCGAGCACCAGTGCTCTGGGAGCAAGCTGCGAATCCGAGTGTCCGGGGGAAGGAAGTGGCTTTGGCTGGTACCTGCACAGGAGGGATGCTGTATTTCAGCTGCTCCGTGTCCCCTCTGCCTCTGATGGGGAAGGATTTCAGCTGAGTTGTCCCAGCCCTTTGGCAGAGGCAATGCCCAGCCCCGGGGTGCTGCGGAGCCTGACTCTGAATTATTCAGTGTCCACACAGCACAGCCTCCTTCTCTCACTTCAAAACGAGCAGACGAGAGGAAAGATAGCGGGTTAAAGCAGGTCAAAGCCTCACCGCTGCCGCTCCGTGCCCAGCCTGAATCGGAGCAACAGCTTCTGGGAGCTGCAGCTCTCCTTTCTCCTACTGCTGGTGGAAGCGAGGGGATGGGAGCCAGCTCCAGGGCACAGCCTTAAAATCCAGCTGAGGGGGCATTTAAGATCCCCAGGGGAGTGGGTACAAGGAAGAAATGGCCTGGCATCCCCCTTGTTTTCTCTGAAGTCTGGGATGACACGGAGGGTATCACCTGGCTCCTGTCCTTGACCCTGCTAGGCTTGCAGCGCAGACAGCAGCCCTGGGTGACCACCACCTGGTCCCCCGTGGTGGCCTGGGGCAGCCTCAGTCACCCCTCTCTGCCCATAGCTCCTGACATCCCCCTCTGAGGGCCAAGCAGCCGTTTCGGGATGCTTCTGCCAGCTCTAAGCTGCTGCCACGCAGGAGGATGAAACCTGCTCGTCATTAATTTGGCTCCAGCTACAAAACTTCTGCCAAGCAGTGGGACCCAGCCTTCTTGCTACCCGGAGAGCGAGGCACGGATGTGTGCGGGAGGCAGTCAGACATGTCTGCTTGTACGCACACGCCGCTCGCTTGCTGCTGAGGAGGGCTGGGAGCCGAGCGCCAGCTCCTGGGACAGCCCCCCAGCTGCCTCCTGCCCCTGCAAAGGCACCCACACGCTTCCCTGCCACTGGGATGGGGACGGTGGGTGCTCCTGGACAGCCCCCAGCCGCTGCGTGTAGGGGTGATGGGGCACAGCTCTTCCCAGAGAAGGCCCTCGGTGTAAACAAGGAAAATTAAACAAAGAGAAAGCAGAGGCAGCTGGTCACCCTGCCTGCCTGCGCCCGGGTCACTTGCATTTCTTGCTGCTCACTTTCACCACTGTGCAAAAGTTTTGTTATCCAAAGGATCAATTTTACCAGGGAATTGCTTTCTGAATTCGACCTTTGAGGATCATCAATCTAAGGAGAGAACTGTAACCCCAGCGAGCTGACCCCGCAACACAGCACTTTTCAGCCCAATCAATCAGGCTGCATTATTTAATAGCCAACAGCCAAGTGCCTTCAGCCAGCCCCGATGCCAACCCTGGTTTGTGTGAAGCTTTCTGCACCCGGGCCTCCCTGGTTCTCCAGCTTGCTGGCTCGGCTTTAACCCCTTCTTCAGGCTTCTCTGCCTCCTCCTCTGGGCCTGCAGCCCAAGGACATGCGCTTGCTGATGGTCTGTGCACGACGCCTTTCCCCAGCCAAGATCCAGCTGGTGGAGACTGGAGTAAATAACATTAGCTCAGTCCCCTGGGTGTGAGCTGCTAGCCCTGCTTGCCTCCACTCATCTTCCTCAGGCGGCCAGCCATCTCAGGAAAGAGAGGATGAAGGGAAAGGTTAGGAGCTACTTAGCAGGGAGGCTTAAACAGCAGCAGTGGGGCAGACACCTGCGCTGTGTCCTGCAGAAGGCAGCGATGGCCCTGCTCCAGTCCCAGGGCTGCTCCAGCAAAGTGCTGATTGCAATATGGTCTCTTTGGCTCCGGAGGAGATCTGAAGAGCGGGGAGTGTTTCTCCTCTCTAGCTTGTGGGTCAAGGCTAGCGGTGACAGTGCTGTTTCTCGGTGAGCGTTCAGAGCCCACGCAGGTTGCAGCCGTGGCGGGGCACAGCCCAGAGGACAGCAGTCCCAGCACACCACCCAGCAGGAGGTACAGCATCCATAGGCACGCTCCATGGCCCGGGGACACCCAAGTCCCACACCGGGCTGGTGGGAGGTGCACACAACTGCGTTTTGCATTGAACAGAAACTGGCTCACACCGTTGCGGCACAAGAGGCCAGAGCAATGTGTGGCCCAAGACGTTACACTTTGCACGACGGGGTATTTATGAGTTTATTTTAGTGCAGGTCGTTCAGCTGCTGCCTTCCCTCAGAGTGGTGCAGTGTGGTCTGACGCTGCCAATGCCTCCACCAGGGAACATCACAGAGGAAAGTTTACAGGAAAGTGTCCTTTTTTGTTTCTTTCTTTCTTTTCTTTTTTTTTTTTTTTACAGCCATAAAGAACAGTTTGTCGTCCCTGCATTTCTCCAAGTCAGCATCCTGGAGGTCACAGCAGCCACCGGTTGGAGAGGCGTCTGGTGCCAAGCCCGTGTGCGAGGGAAGGAGATGCCCGTGCACAGGCTTAGGAAGGGGGTGCAGTCGGGGGGGTGAGTGCTGTAAACCTGCAGGAACCTCACTGGGAGTGAGAAAGCAGCCCCTGTCCCTGAGCTTTCATTAACAATTACTTTTGAAATAATTTTTAAAAGCCACTCCAGCCCTTTGCTTTCCTTCCAAGGATTCTTGTGTGTTTTACAACCTCTTTTCTGTCTGTAACCCCGCTCGCAAAGCAAGGAAGTAAGGAAGAGAAAGGCAAAGAGCATCTCTTCATCCCTCTCCCTCCACATGGGGGGTTGAGCCAGCCTTGGAGTGCTGGCACCCACCCACTCAGGCCTGATGCCATGACCCTGCTGCTGTGCTGGGTAGGGCTGGAGGAACCACTCGCTGGGTGGAGACCCAGAGAGCTGCTCCGTCCCCGGGCATCTCTCGCCCAATTCCCACCATGGGCCACTCCTGCCTTGCCCCAAGCTCCTTAAAAAATCCTGGGCGAGGACATGGGGCAACAGAAGTCCACTACAGTGGGCCACCACCTCCCTTCCAAATCACCTTCCAGCCCAGCCTGTGCTCTCATCTTCACCCTGTGCTCACCGTGAGGACACTACTGCACAGCCAGGGATGACCCCAGGGATGCTGTGGAGACCTTGTGCCCTCCTGCTGGCTCCTGGGCCACCGGGTTCCTGCTGTCCCCACCCCCATCAGCTTGGCAATGGTGCCCCCCCTGCTCCCTTTCTGCTCGCCCGAGCTGGCATTGGGGAGAGGCAGCGCACAGCAGAGAGCTGCTAATGACTGTCATCCAAAGGAAGGCTTATGATAGCTTTCCCTTCAATTGTTTGCTCTCACTGTAATTGATGAGTCTTTAATGAGTCTCATGGGATGATGTGTTTGAAGGGAGCTCTTTCCTCTCCATCCCCGAGGAAAATGATGTTTCAACTGATCTTGGCTCTCGGGGAAACATGAATAACTCTTCTCCATCTCTCTATTGTTATCCCCAGCC